AGCCAAAGGGCTCATAAAAACCCAGACAAAATCATACAGGATGTCGGAAGGAGACTTTCCCTCTGGGAAAGATATACGTGGTATGCTTAGGTATAAATGATGAGTTTCTATTTTTAGGATTTGAAAAAAATTCAATACATCTTCAGCACTATCTACTGTATTCCTTAGAAATTCCATGGGAGGAAGAACCAACTTGGGTCACTTTAAAAAATGCCCTTGAAGATGGGGTATTTTGAGGCATCCAAATACTTAAAAATATTCCCTGAGTCCTACTCTCTCTTCTGAAAGCACATGGGAAACAAATGCTATAAAGGAGATTTAAAAGCAGCACTAAAAAAAAAAGCCCATATCACAGCCTTGACCATGGCGTAAATAGCACAGCAGAGGCAGGTCGAAGTTAATTGACTTAGGAAAGGTCACAGGGTTCCTTGGTTAAACATCCGAGGCATGGTGAAGAGCTCCTCAAAGCGATGTCCCAGGGCGTGTGTGGAAGCTTCCAGTGATTTCCTCTGGCTTGACTTTGCCTTCTGCTGGGTGGGCAGAAGAAAATGGGTCTCTCTCCCAGGCCCAACCCTAGAAGCAAACTCCACAGACCTGATGAGTTTTTCTGTAGCAACTGGGAGCCCACAAGCATAAGAGAAGGGACCCAGGCAGCAGAAAGAGCCAGAGGAGAGAGGCCCGGTGGGGGCACCTTGTCCAAGATGGGGCTGTAAACGTCCTTTAGCGGCAACACAATAGAAACCTCATTCAAGAGAGGAAGCATGCATACATGTCCTTTAAAAGCAATGAAAGAAATGCCCAAACACAGCACACTCACGTTGACTGGACAATCGGCTCTCCCTGAGGGGTAACACTGTGAGAGATGGGAGCTCAGCCAGAACAGGTTTTGGAAAAATTTTATTGCGTTTTGTTTCCATGTGGAAGCACTGACAGAATTGAAAAGAGGCAGCATGTTCCACTTACTTTTCTGAAAGATCACATAGCTAGATGAAGTCTCTCCTCACCCAGGGCTGATTTAATAAACCTCACCCCAAACCCACCCCAAGCAAAAGATAAAAAAAGGTTTGTGGTGATCGCTTAAAAAAACAAATCCATGTTGAGATGGTATTCGGATTTGCGACCTCTGCATTTGATGCATACTCCCTGTCCCCTCACCTCCCGCCACTGTCTTCAGGCCCTTCCTCCTTCAAATGAGACTCAACACACAAGTATGCAAATGGAAAGAAAAGCTAGTCAGTTTCAGCGCCACAGGCTTAGGTGTGTCTGCCGATTCCAGTGGATGGATGGCCATCTCTCAACTTTAAAATGTTTGGCTGTAATGTTGCCCTTGCATCACGGTCAGCCCACGCAGGATAATGGTCTCCCAGGTTAAAATACAGACAAGACGTGCACATTTATGGGTCTAAAATGTCAGAAAGTAAACCCACTGCAGGGATTTACAAAATGAGGAAGAAGGGGTTGACGGTGGAGCTGAGGCTGTTTCACTTGGCAGTAACACTGCTTAACCGACACCTCGCTAGGAGAGGGAGGGAGGTGGGGAGGTCAGAGAAGAAGCAAACGTTAATGAGGGAAATGTAGTTCGCCTGAAGCTGGGTCATTTTCTTCTTCCCTTGATTGTATAAGGCATTTTGAACCGGAAAAACTTCTTCACATTCTTCCAAATAATCATAGTTGGAATATAACTGGTGATTCAGAATACAAATAAGACCCCTTTCATCTCCATCCCCCACCCCACAAGTCATTCTACACACCCAGAGCCCATAACATACAAGGCAGGAAATTGATTTTGTGAATTAGGAGGCGAATCGTGTTCACATGGGGGATGAGGCCACTGTGTCAAGGACCCTTTTAAGGGCTCCATCCCTGATCCTGGCCCTCTCAGGTCACAAGGAGTAAGCATCCATCTTCGGTGAGGTTTTAACTCCCATTTGGGCGCTCGCCACTGCCTCCTGGGCAGTGGGAGGTCATGGGCCCTCCTGGCTCTCCTATGCGTCCCAAACAGGTGTCCGGGCCGGTCCATCCACGCACAAGTGTCACGACTCAGTTAGTACAAGGGGGCATGGCCTGGAGACAGCGCCCTCCACATTAGTCATGCCAGACAGACAGCAGAGAGGAAACCAGAGATCAGAGAAGTGATTTTAAAAAGGAAAAAAGAAAAGCAGCTTCGGTCACCAAAAAAATAGAAAGGATGATCTTTTAAAAATAAAACATGGGGACATTTTTTTTTCTCTGCAATGTTCAGCCATTTTACTTGAGACATTAAAAAAAATGTTTTAGACTTGTTTTGCTTTTTCGGTTTAAACGTTCATGAGAACGGATTGGATGGTAGTGCTGGGATGTGGTTTGTGTCTGAGTGGCAATGCTGGTCAGGGGTCCTTCAGACCACATACTGGTACGGGTCTGCCTTCCCTTGGTCTGGCGTGGCAAAGGGGCTGGCCCAGCCTAGAGAAAAGGGGTGGCCAAAAACGGCTTTCATGTTCATCCATTTTGTTTTTTTAGCCCATCTTCTCTCTTCCTTTTTCAATTGTTCTATTCCCTGAAAACAAGAACAATCATACTTTCAGTCAAGCACTTTACTGCTGTGGTTTTGGGGGAGAGATATCCATTAGCTTGAGGTGAATGGAGTAAATGCTTCCTTATTTTAAAGCCATGAAGCTCATCTACATAGTACATTTTTCTTCTCTTTCTCTCATAAAAAATGCTAAAGAAAAAAATCATAATTTTTTTTTGGGGGGTGGGCATATAGGCACACATGTATAAGTCCCTCCAGGAAGGAAGGGACAAATGAGCAAAGTCAGCAGGCCCCTAAGCCACTGTTCCTAGTTGTGCAATCCAGTGTTTTGTTAAGTGAGTCCTTGCTGGGTCTGCAGAGGCGCTTCAGGCCTGGTTCTGAGCTGTGTGTGCGGGAGCACTGTGAAGGCTGGGGCACAGGAAGCCTCAGCTGGTGGGGAGCTTGAGATCACGATAGCCAAGGACGGCCATTAATTTGGGAACGGTTCATGGTAAGTCTGAAGCTACTATGACCACTTTGCAGACAAAAAAAAGAACCAAGTCAAAGGACCAGCTCTGGTGCTGTTACGCCCCCCAGCCTGGGAGGCCAAGGAGCGCCCTGCTTAGCAGGACTGGCGAGGCACAGTGGAGGAGGTGGAACAGGAGGGAGAGGTCACTACAGAGGAGGAAGGAGAGGGATTAGTATAGGTTAGAAGGGCCGCACGGACAGACCGCTCAGCCTCAGCCTCAGCCCCGGCAAAGGCCTTCCTGTGCTCCTTTGGGGAGAAGTGTGACCCAAGGCCACCTCAGCAGTTGTCACAGAGCCCGCACGACCCCCTGGCCAAGTCTCGCAAGAAAAATGTGGCCTGGGGGAGCAGGCTGATCCCTCCCTTTTCCCTTCTCCTGAAGGAGCTGGTCAGCGGGTGGGGCCGGAGGACAGGGGAGAAGCAGCCTGGCAGGAGCCTGGCCAGGGGCCTGTCTGCTGTGGTCTCTGTGAGGTAGAGGCGCAAGGGTGGGGCCTGAGGGGACAGCCCAGTCTGAGTCTGGGCGGTGGGAGGTCATGGGCCCTCCTGGCTCTCCTATGCATCCCAAACAGGTGTCTGGGTCCGACACCTAAGTTCACAGCCTAGGGCCCTGGGACAATAGAGGCCAAGGGCAAGATGCCCTTTCCCATGAGCTGCAGGTCCTTGGCTTCTTTCTCCTTTCCTTTCAATGTGACTCCCTTTAGGAATACCCTTGAGGGGGAAGAACAACTAGGACCAGGGCCATGAGAGTTTTCCTTCTAGCTCCCCCAGACCATGGCTTGTGTGGCCTGGCGGGGTGTCCCAACAGCGGGTAGGGCCAGATAGTCACCTCTGGGTTCCCTGCAGGTCTTACGCAGAGAAGTTTGTCACATTTACTGCATGGATACACAGCTGGATCTACACCACTGGCTACTATTTTTACAGACACTCTTTTATAATGATATGAATGCTTATAAAAGAAAAAAGGTGCTGAGAGGCACCCAACCTTCTAAACCATGGGGAATTGCCGCAGATCCAAATGGTGGTGCCTTGGCAGCCGGCAGCATCGTCCTTCTCCACATGCTGAATTTCCACACCCACAGGAATGGGGCCTCAGCAGCAGCAGCAACAACTGAGTCTTCCTACGAGCCTCCATCTAAGGCTGACTACCCAATCGGCCGAAGTTCCCCCAAAGAACCCTAGACGATTGTTGAGAGCTGCTACCTGAAGGGGACTTTGGGAAGCCAGGAGGAACTCATGACCTCACCCCAGAGCTAAGGGCTGCCCTTCCTCCTGGGGCCCCTTACCCAGACCCCAAACCCAAACAGGGAAGAAATGCCCACATCACAGCCACGGACTGACCACCTGGAGGCTTCTGGACACCTTAGGAAGGTTGAGAGGTAGTGGCAGTGGCACCAGGGGTATGGGCTCCAGCTTGGCTGGGCCAGCAGCTTCAAAGCTCCCAGAGAAGGAGCTGTGAGCAGGGCGGAAGGTGGGGGCAGGCAGAAGGCAGCAGATGAGGACCAGAGCCGGGTCTTGCTGCCCACTGCTCTGGGGGCTCAAGCTGAGCTGTCTCCTGACTCCATCCTCAGGACCTGTTCATGAAGGCACCTTCTCTGGGAAGCCGACCCTGTCTGTGCCACCTGGGTCAGGGTGGCCTTTGTCCACCACCTGTCTCCAAGCCTGTGGCCACTGGATGGGAAGGGCATCCCAGTGCCTAGCAGAATGCCCGACCCAGAGCCGTGTATAAGACAGAACCATCACGGGAAGGTGGAAGGGCTCGTAACAAAAGGGAACCCTTTGCCGAGGCTGCGGGGCCCCATTCCTGGTGTGATGTGAATGCCAGTCCCAAGTGGGGAGGAAGAAGATCCCGAGTCACTGCAAATGGAGGAATGTGCCCTGCACACCCAGGGCCTGGCCGCTGGGCTCCCAGGTCTGGCCTGCAAGCAGCCCTCCCCCTACCCCAGCTGTGGAGGCAGATGGTGAGCAGGCTGCCCACTTGCTTACCGTCTCATCCGTGCAGATGGAGTGTACCTGGGTCCCAAACATGACTGATGTGAAAATGAGGAAGAGCAGCCCCTCGAAGCACAGGAGGATGAGGAGGATCACTGTGGTGGGTGGCGAGAAGGAGCTGCACTCTGAAAGAGAAGGGACACGTGGGGCTCAGGGCTGCCCCTCGCCACCCCCAGGGCTCCTCTCTGGCTTCGAGGCCATGGCAGGGGCCGTCCTCTCCCACACCTGGCTGCACCAGCTCTCCCTCAGGAAAGCCCTCCTCAGCAGGCTGGACCTTGCCGGCTTCCCCTCCCTCACACACACCACTCCCTGCTCTCCGTCCCTCTTCCTGGACAGCACGGGTGTCTGCATCCTGGTGCCAAGCACAGTACCCAGCACAGTCTGGAAGGACCAGAAGGACTCAGAGCTGAGGCACGAAGGCCTGATGACACCACAGGGAGACCCTCCTCTCCTCAGAGAGCAAAATGCAGGTTGCACAGGTGGAGGGGCCTCAGTCCAGGCCTGGTTTGGCCGTGGGTTTTCTGGGCATTCCTGTGCCTCTATCTGCTCACGGGTGAGAGGAAAATCCAGGTCTGGAGGATCACTCAGTGGCTGTGGGAGCTACAGCTCGGCAGGGGGCAGTCTAAGTGCTGGGGCTTGGCCTGACCCAGTAAGCCCCACGGGGAAGGCCCGCTCTCAGGAGCATCTGCGTCCCTGAGACAGTCTGTCCTGAAGCTGGGGAGCTGACAGAAGAGCCACCTGGCCCAGAGCAGACACTTTCACTCCCCTGGCCCCTACTACGACCTCACCCTGACCTGGGTGTGACCCGAGGCAAGTCCTTGTCCCTCTCCAGGCCTCTACTCCCTCCACTGTAGAGCAGTGAGGTTTGACCAGATGTGTGGTTTTGTTTTAGGCAGCAGAATCCTTTGTCTGAGTAGTGTCTCAGTCAGAAACCCAGCCCACTGAAAAGCAGAGGTGCTGAGGGAGCTGGTGGGGGGTGAGCAGGCAGAAGACCCCTTCTCTGGCTCTTCACCATCAAGGCAGCTTCTCAGGAGAGCCCTGGACCACCTTGGGAGACAGGGGCCCCACTTGTGGCACTGGTCCAGGCCCCTTGGTTGGCACTCACTACCCAAGGACTCCTGCCCTTGCCAACAGCTGCCGGGCCTGTCACACCCGGGCCGTGGCCCATGTTTCTGGCTCTTCCAGTGCTCTGGCCTGTTTTCCTGACAGAAGGGGTCTGGTCCTGCAGGGCAGAGCTGGGCTTCACTGGGCTTTGGGAATTCAGGGAGTAAGTGCCCCCTCCAAACTGCCCTGCTAGCTCCCTCACAGGAATGTCAGGAGAGGAAAAGGACATAAATCTGGAATGAGCTTAGAGACACACCAGCACTGAATGGGTGGCAGGGTGAGAGCATCTTGTCTAAATGCCGTATCTCCTCACATCTTCCTCAGAACTTAACACCTCCACATGACTTCCCTTCTTGGTTCCTTGCTGGGCAGGGTGTGGTTAGGGTGGCCCAGCAGCCTGACGGGCTGGCCCTGGGTGGCCACAGCTGGGGCAGGTACCTGCCTGGCTTCTGGGCTGGTCAGGGTGGTGGGCAGGACAAGGCAGACAGGGTGGGCATGGATCCTGTACCAACTCCTGACTATGAACTCTCACTAACATCCTGACCTTCCCCTCTCTAGCTTGGGCTGGAACTGTGGCAGTCACGAAAATGGGGAGACATGGTGTTATGGACTAAATTGTAAACCACCCCCTGAAATTCACATGCCAAAGCCCTAACCCCCAAAGTGATATTATTTGGAGCCAGGGCCCTTGGGAGGTAATGAGGGTTGGAAGAGGTCATGAGGGTAGGGCCCTCGTGATAGGATTAGTTCTCTTATGAAAAGAGACACCAGAGAGCTTGCTTTTCTCTCTCTGCCATGTGAGGACACAAGAGGAGAGGGCCGTCTGCAAGCCAGGAAAAGGGTCCTCACCAGGAATGGAATTGGTTGGTACCGTGATCTTGGACTTTCCAGCCTCCCAGACTGTGAGGAATAAATGTTTTAGCCTCCCAGTCTATGGTATCTTGTTATGGCAGCCTGAGGTGACTAATACCCACGGGATTTCTCTTCCCCTAGATGAGGTCAAGCCAGGCAGAGATGGGGGCAGGACCGGGGAGATACACTAAGTCCCCTACATACAAACCTTCAAGTTGCGAACTTTCAAAGATGTGAACGTGTGTTTGCATGTCCAATTACGTTAGTTGGATTATGTTAGTTGGGTACCTAGGCTAACGTTGTTGGACTTTACGAACAAATTGGACTTATGAACGCACTCTCAGAACGGAACCTGTTCGTATATAGCGGACTTACTGTAGAAGGGGGGCAGATGCAAACTACAGAGGCAGGGAAAGCCTCAATATCTGGTTGGGAGCTAAAGATACTGTCCTTTTCACAGCCTCACAAGTTCTGGGGGAAATAATAGCAAGAAAAAGCCTAAGAAGTCAGTATGTGCAGGAAGAGCAAAACTCCTAAAAAATGATTAAATGAAGGGGGGAACCAATCAATGGAAAAAGAATGAAAATATGATGTTTCTGCTCAAGATGTGTCTCACAGGTGTATGTGTGAAAGATGGAGCCCAGCAGGTGGCCTCTCTTAATTCCTCCAGTATCTGTAGTAGTCTTCCCCTTATCCTTGGCTTTGCTTTCTGCAGTTTCATTTACCTGTAGTCAACCTCAGTGCAAAAATATTAAACGGAAAATTCCAGAAATAAACAATCCATAGGTTTTAAAGTACAAACTGTTCTGAGTAGCGTGATGAAATCTCACGCCATCTTGCTCTGTCCACCTGGGACGTGAACCATCGCTTTGTCCAGCATATCCATGCTGCATATGCTACCTACTACCTCGGTTACCAAATCAACTACTGTGGTATCACAGTGCTTGTGTTCAAGTAACCCTTATTCTACTTAATAATGGCCCCAAAATGCAAGAGCAGTGATGCTGGCAATTCAGATACTTTCTTACTGTGCCTAATTTATAAATTAAACTTCATCATAGGTATGTATGTATAGGAAAAAACATGGTATATATAGGGTTCTGTACTATCTGAGGTTTCAGGCATTCCACTGGGGGTCTTGGAACATATCCCCTGCAGATAAGGTGGGACTACTGTACTAAAAATTGTTTTCTTATAACTTATTTTTATTCTTCTTTAAAAAAATTGAAATTTTATTTATTTTTTCTGCATCTATATTTTTCCCTCAGGATTTATGCAATCTTGTGGTTGGAGTTCCTTCCTCAGCATGTGCACTTTTTTTTTTTTTTTTGCGGTACGCGGGCCTCTCACTGTTGTGGCCTCTCCCGTTGCGGAGCCTGTGCTCCGGACGCGCAGGCTCAGCAGCCATGGCTCACGGGCCGAGACCGGGGCACGAACCCACATCCCCTGCATCAGCAGGCGGACTCTCAACCACTGCGCCACCAGGGAAGCCCGCATTTGCACATTTAAATGAGATACTTCAAAAGCAGGAAGAATTTGTCTACAATCTTAACGTAAATTGGTGATTAAGCAGTTAAAAAAACAACCATCACTCACACACACACACACACACACACACACACACACACACACACACACAAAAGATTAACGAAAACCGTCCATGTCCTAGCCAGAAAGTTAAAAATGGATTTCTGCAAGGTTGGAATAAAATGACCTTCAATTAAAGCTCCTCACTTAAAGACATGGAAGCAAAAGCTCTCTCTGCAGGCACAGCTCCACTCCAGGGAATGCACCGCCCTGCTGGGGGGCTGCATTTTCCCTGGGCTCACTCAGGCTAGAGGGTCTGTCCAACTCACTACATTACCTGTAGAACTGACTTTAAGGGGCTGCTTTTTTTCATGAAGAGATATTTGGGCCTCTGCTGTTTCTTCCCTGATAGGTCCATGGGCTTGCAGGAGATCTAATAAAATGAGGTTGGCCCCTGGCACTAAGACGGAAACAAAGAGCCCACCCTGCTTGGGTCATGCGCCCCCCTGCAGCAAGGAGGGAAGCCCTGGCACATACTCACTTGTCCAGTCTTCTTCAAAGCAATGCAGGAAGTGGAATCCCACCATGATGAGGGCGTGCAAGGAAATGAGAGCTATGTACATCTGAAACAGGAAAGCAGTGCAGACGCCATTGTTGTGAGAACCTTCTGGCCGTGAAGGCTCCCGGGACGGGGTGCTCGGAACCTCCCATTCAGGAACACTTAGGCTGAGGGCTGAGCAGGAGGGGGGCCAGAGAGGCACCTGGTGATTTCTCCACTGGTCCCCCGCCCCCAGCCCTGGGTCTGAGGTGAGCGGCCATTCACTGGTAGCGTGTGGAACAAGAACAGAAACAAGCACGTGTCACCAGGTGTGACCTGGGCTGCCCTGGGGGCTCCAGGCTGGCTGCTGCTCCTCACTTGAAAGGTCAGGGCGCTGACTGCCATTGGCCCCTCCAGCCCTCAGGCTAGATACACTCCACCTACCTGCAGCTGAGGGAGGGTTGCCGCCTTCTTTAGCTACTTAGGTCGGACACCAGGCATAGAGGCCCAGAACACTGCCCTTGCTTATAGCTAATCAACTTGAGTCAATTTTCTAGATGCTCAAGTGAAGGGCACAGGAACGGGCACTTGTTCAACCAAGGAGAGCTCTGGCAGAAAGGCGGAGGTCTACGTGGCCAGGCACTATTCTGAACAGCAGCAAAGAACACTGTGAGTGCTGACAATTCGAAGGAACAGAGCTCTCCATTGCTTCACAGAGGGTGGGGCAGAATTCGGAAGCTGACTTACTGTAAACAGGACGAAGTACTTCTGGTTGTTCTCGCCAACACAGTTATTGACCCAGGGACAGTGGTGGTCCATCTTCCGAATGCACCGCTTACAAACACTGAAAGAGCCGCAAGGCAGATCTTTAGGGGGGTCCTCACGGAGGTGGGAGTGTCGAGGGGACTCAAAACCCATGCTCCTGCACCACTCCTGGCAAGTGGCCTCTAGGGCGCCACCCAATGTTTTGCTGCATGTGTGTTGCAAGGGGCTTGGAAGGCAGGGCCAGGGCCTCCAGGGTCACAATCATTCCAAACAAGGGGACAGTTATCCACCTCCAAGGCCCCTTATCTTGTTTCACATAAAAACAGGCTGGAACGACATGGCTGAGAAAGAGACTGCTCTCCTGAGGTAACAGTGGGCTGAAAATGTGGTTTACTGAGAGGACAGAAAGAAGCAGCACTTTCAAAAACCTGACAGGATGAGATGGGATACAGCTGCTCCTAATTTCCCCCCAAAGACCAAAAACCTGACCAGGGAACCTCCCAGGGTGCGGCTGACGAGAGAGAGTGCTAGAAGAGTTCAGAGTGGGGTCACGAGCAGTGCGTCACATGGCGGCAGGAAGTCCCCCTCTAAGGACCTTGCAGCTCTAAGATAATATCCACTTAGCCCAAAACAGCAGAAAAGTCATTTGAGCTTAAGTGTTGATCAGAAATCCCACTAATTTGCAAATTACTAACTTGTTACTGGGATAATTTTTGGACTGAGACTGTTTGAAGCTTTGTTATTTGATAGCAAATACCTTCCCCACCCCTTTTTGGACCATACAAGTAAGAATCTGAAACAAGAGCACAAGGCTAATGGGACCTCAAAAGCAACTACTCCCAAAGCTCAAGCTCAGGAAGACCAATTTGCCAATAGATGGGCTCATTAAAAATTGTTTCTTGGGGCTTCCCTGGTGGTACAGTGGTTGAGAGTCCGCCTGCCAATGCAGGGGACACGGGTTTGTGCCCCGGTCCGGGAAGATCCCACATGCCGCGGAGCGGCTGGGCCTGTGAGCCATGGCCGCTGAGCCTGTGCTCCGCAACGGGAGAGGCCACAACAGTGAGAGGCCCGCGTACCGCAAAAAAAAAAAAAAAAATTGTTTCATTCTCAGTTCATTAAAATAGGCTCCCTAACATTTATCTTGGGGGCAGTATTTGTTCAAAACAGTTTGAAATACTATAAATACAAGCTTGGAAATAATAGAATTATATATATTTTTGACAGTCCCTTAGTTTACACCAGCTTTTCTTTCTAGTAGTTTCCATAACCAACTTTATCTCAGGTTCTTACTAAGGTGGGCTATGGTGGGTGGACCCTGGGGGAAGGGTTGGCTCAGGGGCCTGCTGAAGAGAAGGCTGCCTCGTGCTCACAAACAGTGCTCGCTGAGCTCTGGCTGACCCACAGAGAGGGCAGGGATGGCGCAGAAGGAGCTGTTCTGGGCATGGAGGCGAGCTGTTCCCAGACTGCAGACCGGGAAGCACAGACCACTCTGAAGGAGGGCTCACCTGCACCCCAAGGGGGAGGCGTGGGCTTTTCTAAGCATGGTATGAGCTCTGGTGGCAAGGCAGACCTGGGTCCCCCCCTGCCCCCCACAGGACGTGAGTACCATTATAAGAGAAAGTGAGAACAGATGCTGGCTCAGACGAGTGGTGGGGTCATTCTGGTCTCCACCCTTGTTCTTCCCACAGCTTCAAGGGGTCATGATAACACAGGCATATGGGGAATGAGCACATTTCAGAGATGCTGAACCAGCTTCAGAAATCTCCTTGGGAGCCAGAAAGGCGGGGTAAGAAAAGGACGCATGAAAGGGGCATGGAGGGCAATAAAGAGAAAGCCAGGTACCAGCAACTCCATTACTTGATCAATCAATCTCTCTCTCTCTCTCTGTATGTTACCGATTTGAATGAATGAATGAAAGAACAGGTAACACTTGTTCCCAGTGTACAATCTTGAAAGTACAGACAAGTAGGCAGTAAAGCTCCCTGCATTCTGGGCCTCAGCCAACACATTCCCACCATGGAACCACCCCCGTAGCCCATGTCTTGTATGTCCTTCCTCAGCTCTGGGGTTTCTTAATCCCCTCCCTATCTGGGGAGCTCCTGAGGGTAACCACCTCCCTGCTCTGGACTCTTGAGCAGTTTTTCTTCCACTTGTACTTCTTTGTAAAAGGGGTTTCAGGTGGGTGCTCTGAGGCAGTGTTTGCTCAGCAGCAGAGAGGTGCCAAATGGCCTGACGTCCTCTGAAAGCTGTCTAAGAGATTAAGCAAATCTGTCCTTTGCTCTCTCCTCCCAGCCTCCCTGAAGAGGCCAGGTGTGAACCCTGGGAAGCTGGGTTTCACAATGGGCTAAGTTTCACTGGGCAGCCAAATTAGAACACTACTCATCCTTCTAGAAGTAGGCAGGAGTACAGCCCACTGAGAGCTGCAAAAGTTGTCCAGAGTGTTGGTCTCTGAGTTTCCTATTTGCAAAGACAGGAAATGCCAAGATGGCGCCTCTCCCTCCGGCTTACAGAGTTGTTCAGAAGCGGGCTCCTGGGGCAGGTGGTAGTGCACGTGGGTGGTGGAGGTCCATCCATGTATGTGGCTGGAGGCGCTGTTTAGAGGCTAACTGACCCACGGCTCACAGAACACCCAGCCTGAATGGCTCTGGGGCTGGGGCCTGGAGAGCACCAAGGGCAAGGCCTGGTCCCTCAGTGGGCCAAGTGAAGGGTGCTCCAGGCCCAGGGGGTGACTGCCCACACCTGCCTGGCTATTTCATCTCAGGCACCAGCCCTCAGGGGGAGGAAGAAAAAATGTGAGCCTTCCACAACCCCTGACACCCCACTGGGAATCAGGTACCTCAGAGTCAGTCTTCTTCCCAGTCCCCACAGCACAGTGGGCTCACTGGTGTCCCCTCCCCAGACACAGCAGGGCAGCTCAAGCACAGCAATCAGGGAAGGCTCCCAGAGGGCCCTTTCTCCACTCTTGCCTCCGGGCGAAATCCACCTTCCCTGGGGCTCCTGCCTGCACTCCTCTCTTGTACCAACTCCAGTGTCTCCTGTGCGAGACGCTGTGGACACAGACATGTCCTAAGCATTCAATGGCAGCTGCTAAAAAGACCAAATGTCCTCAGTGGAGGTATTTGGGGTGTTCCTACCTTCAGGGTTTCCCAGGCCCCTCCCGTTTTTTTTTGTTGGTTTGTTTTTTTAATTTATTTTTGGCTGTGCGCGCGCTTTCTCTAGTTGCGGCAAGTAGGGGCTATTCTTTGCTGCGGCGCGCGGGCTTCTCATTGCGGTGGCTTCTCTTGTTGCGGATCACGGACTCTAGGTGCGTGGGCTTCAGTAGTTGTGGCACGTGGGCTTCAGTAGTTGCGGCACGTGAGCCCTAGAGCATGCAGGCTTCAGTAGTTGTGGCACACAGGCTCAGTAGTTGTGGCTCGCAGGCTCTAGAGCACAGGGTCAGCAGTTGTGGCGCATGGGCTTAGCTGCTCCGCAGCATGTGGAATCTTCCCGGACCAGGGCTTGAACCCATGTCCCCTGCATTGGCAGGAGGATTCTTAAACACTGCACCACCAAGGAAGTCTGCCCCCCGGCCCCCACCTTTTTAAATCCTGGTTTTACAAGAGGGAGGATGCTTCTCTCCTTTTCCTCCAGGTTCCCTACCATTTTCAGTCCCCAGAGCACTTCCTTCGCAAGCTTGGAAGAGTCCAACAAGCTCACCGGATCGTGTGTATTCAGGTTCCCTGGGGCTCATGCTCCCTCTCCAGGGAGGTACAAGAGACCTTCCTTGGCACTCAGCCCCCAAGGAGCAGGTTGAGGTCCTCTTGCCCACCCTAAGTGATGGCCCTGTGACTCTCCCTACAGCGGCACCCACCAAACTGTATCACGGCAGACAAGTGCATCTGCCCTACCTGGGCAGGAGGCCCCTGGGTCAGGGCCATGTCCCATCCACCACTACAGTCCACAGCCAAGCCTGGGGCCCCGCTTAGCAAGGGCTGGAGGAGAGAAGGCTCTGACACTATAGATGGGGAACTGGGCTCCACCACCTCAGGCTGGGATGCCACAATAGATGAAGAGAAAAAATCATAGCAAGGAGGTACCAAGGGGACCATGCTCCCCATATAGGTTTTCATCTCACACCTCATTCACTATGATTAAAATTATAAGCAAAAAAGGCATCTATAACATCCTGACCCCAGCTCAGACAATGTGGGGTAAGGCAGTACCCAAACAGGGTAAGGCCAGTGGAAAGAACACATCTCTCAGATCACCACTTTGGGCTCTGGGCAAAGAAACTTAGCTTCTCCAAACCACCCTCTGTAGAACTAGCCCTGCTCTCTCAGGGTTAGAGATGATGTGTGTAAAATGCTTTAAAACCAATGCTAGTGCAATATAAATTTATCAGTAACTGATAAACAAGCTGGCAGGGGCCCTAAGCAGTCCCCAACTGTCTCATCTCAGTGTGTGTGTGTTTGTTGGGAGGTGGGGAGGGGTGTGAGGCTTTGCCAAGGTCAGAGGTCTCCACCGCCTGTGCAAGAAGAACCTAACACATAAGCCTAACACCTTGGCTGTCCCCGTTAGCATGACCCACCCACCCCAAGGATTTCCACAGGCTTCCATGATCCTCAACGCCAGGATGAAAGGAGCCTGCTTGGAAGGAAGACCCAGCCACGTATCACCAGGCTGGAAGGAACACCTACAGGTGCAAGATCAGGGAATATTTGTGGTACCCATCAGAGCTCAGGGAAAAGAGTTTTAAATTCCATGACACTACTGGGAGGACAGGAAGCAGAGAGCTGGGCACAGACACATGCCCCTTCACCTGAGCAGGAAGACTGACACCAACTTTCTCTAGCAGGGCAGCAGGCCCCTTGGCTCACCCAGTCACAAACCCAGCTCTGTTTGGTGTGCTGGGGATTCTGCTTATCCAAAACCATGGGTCCCCAGATGGCCTGGGCCACCACAAGCCACCACAAAGGAGCAGGTGTCAGCATACATTTCCTGACACAGGAACAGGCTATGCACAGGCATCCTCACTCAAGTTCATCTGAATCAGCAGCTCTTGTTTTGCTCAAGCTGATTTGTTTATTAGCACTCAAGAATACCTCCCTTGGATCATCCTGGGGAGAGAGGTGAGGAGGAGGGGGTGAGGAAAATGCCAGGCGGTGGAGGCTGCCAAGGGCTCAGGGACGAAAGAGAAAAGAACCACTGTGGTCACCCAAGTTCTTTCTATAAAGTTCACACTTCCCTGTTTCTGGTCCAGCCTATGTAAACCCAGCACATCCCCAACGCTCACACATTCCTCCATTAACAGATAGATATTCATACTTCATCCTCACAAGCTAAGGAGGAACAACCCATTTTACAAAGGAGAAAGCTGAGGCTCTGAGAGATGTGGTGCCTGGCCCACAGTCCCCAGTGTGGCAGGGACAGCGCTGCCTTTCCAATGCTGACCTCTCCAACTTCAAGGCAGGAGCCCGCTCCACCACACTGGAGGAATCACATCACCCAGGGGATGAGAAGAGCTGGGTTCCCGAGCCTCGGGGTGGTAGGAAAAGGCTAGACTGATGCCTCCATCTCAGGCACAAGAAGAAAGCATTGAATTAGTTTCTAATACAGATTTCAGAAACAAGATGACCCAGACACAGAAAACCCCACAGGAGATGGCAGTTCCCATGGTCCCTGCCCAAGCTCCTTGGCCCTCACCCTTGAGAAGTGGCAACTAGCTGGGGAGGTCTCCAGATCGCTCTCTCAGACAGACAGAAAAAGATACAGAAAAATATGCATATGGTTATATCAAGTTACACAAGTCATGCCAAACTAGAGTTCTAGTGGAAAGAGCCCCAGACTCGGAGCCAGACACACCAGGAACCAATCCTGTCTCTCGTAGTCACCGGCTGTGTGACCCTGGAGCAGCCACTTAACCGCCTTGAGCCTTAATTCCTCATCTAGGGAGGGTCATGCCTATGGCAGAGCTATCTCTGGGGGTGAGCATGGGGATGACGATGATGAGACGGGGTGGGCTGAGGTGCCTGAGACACAGCAGGTATTGGGAGCTGACCATGGCATCTGGATGTTCAGACCGACTGCCCTCCTCCAAAAGGTGGGCAGTGCGGCCCGCACAGAAAAGCCACCTTTCAGCCGCTCGCACCTCGCACAAAACCCAGATGCTTCCACAGCCTCAGGACGACGATACCTCCTGACATCAGGAGCCAGTTCATTCCTCCACAGCCCCTCTCCACCCCAAACACACGCTAGTGTGAAAAAGGGACTAAGTGACAGGTTCGTTATTTCTGTAATTTAGCATTTAAAGTTCTCGTCATGATAAAATGCAATATTTAGCTGGAGGTTTTCTTTTGTCAAGAAGACTCAAAACAACAAAGAAATCTGAAAACCAAAAGGGAAAAACCACCACAGATAAAACAGGGAAATGGCTTTTCTGGCTGAACTCTACAACTGTCAGACCTCTAGAAGTTCTGTTTTAAAGAAAAGTCTTTCTTTTCTTTCAAGGACAACCCCCTCATTTCCCTATAAAATTTAAGTGAAATTGCACCTGCCCCTTAAATGTGTCAGGGGCTAGACATTCACAGAATGATTTTCTAAAGCTTTGTCTCACGTGCCCTTAATAAAGTAATAAAGCTGTGCGGCAGGAAGAGCAGGACTCCTCTCCATTTCACAGATTTGGAGACAAGGGTGGAGACAAGCAAGGGCCTGGGCAGGGCCCCCTGGCAAGTGTGGCGAAGCCTAGTGTCCTGAGCCCGAACCAAACACCCTTTCCCACCCTTGCCCTCCTGTGCAGGTGGGGATGGAGAGTCAATGTGGTCACTCCATGCCCAGAGCAGGGCACGTTCAGAAGTCCTGTTGCTGATGGCACCCGTGGAGGGAGGGCGAGGGCGGGGGCGCAGGGGGTGAGGAGGGGAGCCCAGGCGGGGGCAGTGTACCTGCAGTGGTGGGCTCGGTCAGGCTTGATGCTGCAGCATTTGGGACACTTGTACACCACCTGCCCAGGCTTCAGCTGTAAACTCTCGATGAATTCTTTAGTGGCATTTCCTTTGGGCACCGCCCCCTGTAAGAAAGAGAGGTGTCAGGGTCAGGCTAGGGGTTCCCTCAGTTCTGACATTCCACAGAGGCGATGGTCATTTGAAAGCAGCAATTCCACACACGGGGACAGGATATTTTCATCCCAACGACATGTGGGTTCTGTTCAGAGTTATGCCAATACCAATAATAAGTTATTGACAAAGAATTTCCCCAAGGAAAAGTGAATGATTTTCTACACTGGACAGTTACGTTGTTCCCAATGATCCTCTATTTTCATTTTACTAACATGGTTTTCATTGAATGCATCCTTTCCTATGTAAATATTACAGGGAGGATTTGACTCATCAACTACAATTTTGATTTACGTTAGATTTCCCAGGGACAGTTTCGGTCTTTGTGAATTTTCATTGGTGAGCAGCACATCTAATAGTCCAGTTTTCCCAGGTCATAATTCACAGCTCTGAATGTTATTGGGTTCTGTTTAAACTGGAATCAAGTTTTATTTTATTTTATTTTTTATCAGTACTATTGTTATGGATTGGTAATCTGTGTTTAGTTCTTATGAATCCACAAGCAACTGTAAGCCACTGCCCTAAGATATTCAAGTGCTCTCCACACCAAGATGCTGAAAACCAGATGTGACTCAGGATAATGATCACCTCTATGGTGGTGAGGAGGCTGGGAGTGGAATGAAGTGGGGGTGGGGCATATAAAGAGGCTAACCTGTCTTTGTAACTATTTTTTTTAATTTACAAAGCTGGGAGGCGAACACATGAGTGGTCGTCATATTATCCTTTACACCCTTTCAACTGTCTTAAGTATTTCATTAAAATTTTTTCTGAAAGTTCAAAAGAGAAGTGGAAAAAAAATACAGCCTGCAAAATACAGTCAGATGCCAGAAGAACCTATCAAAGACCTTTTAAAAGCAAACAAACTTCGGTAGGCAAGGACTACCTGGTACATACAATGCCATTTATGCTATAGTTCTTGACATCAAACAGCCATAAAAGTACACAGCTATTGACATGGGAAACGTCTATGATAGACTGTTAAAGGGAAAAGTAGATTCCCAAACAGTATGTAGACTACAAACCCATTTTGATAAAGATTACACACACACACACACACACACACACACAGACACACACACACACACACACGTACATGCCAAAGTATTAATGGTTATCTGATGTAGTAAAATCACAGGTAATTTTTAATTTATTAACTATATTTCTTAAATGTTCTAATATGAACATGTGACTTTTGCAAAAAGGAAAAAACGCATTTAAAAAAACAAGCAAAAAAATATACTCAGGAAGGAGCTATGCAAAGTAGGAGTAAGACCAACTTTCCTGAATTTTGTAACCAAAGTGCTGTGACTTGTCTCACCTTGAGACATCTGAGGGTCCCCCCTTAAGGCCAGTGAAGGGTCAGGGTCTGGAAGTCTTCACAAAGGTAAGAGAGGGCCCAGATCGCCTAGACGAGTGGATTTTTAAAAGGGGCTTGGGAAGGGCGCTGGCCCAGGCAGAGGGGGAGGTTGCAGAAAAGTCCAGAGGGTCATACTTTAAATTCTCTTTAATGTAAAAAAGTAATTGAGTTTGGGTAACTGTGTGACCTTTTGTGGATCCTGAAGCCAACAGACCGCATCTGGAAGTCACTATTGTCATGTGTACAAGAGAAATGCACTAAGGAACAGCATTTCCCCAAGGTGATGAAGCAATAGGGCTGTTTTCCTAAATGAAGGTCGTTTTTGGTTTTTTTCAGGTCCAGTTTTTAAGGTCACCACCACCACAATTTGCTGTAAATGTCAGGAGACCCTCCCCATAAAGGGCTACGAGAGCTTTACAGAACCAACGGCAATCGGAGCTCTCATTTGGTCTCCTCATTACTGCCTGTTATTCCAGACCACAGTCAGAGACATTCAACAGCGCAACCTTTCTAAAAGTCCCTCCTCCATGTGACTCCATTTGCACAAATCTCCTGGAAGGCTCATTCCCATCCAGGCAAGACCCCACCTGCCCAGTGAGCCCATCTCGCAGAGCTAGAGACCCACTGGGCCAGCCCCTGAGACTGAGTCCTCCTCCCTCCCTCACTTCCTCCCTCCCTTTCTCTCTCTTTCTTTCTTTCTTTAAAAGAATAGGCTCTTCTGGGCTCATCTCCACAGATTTCAGAACTTACTAGTTCATGGTAAGGGATTTTGTTCTGTATAACTCTTGATAGACGGCTGGGAGTTGGAAGGCCTGTTGAGACATTTTTGCCACTGCTGTCACGTGTGCACTAAGAAACACCCACTACCTCCACCCCTACCCCTGTTCCTATATCTCACAGGGATGGCTTGAAGCTTTCACATTACTGCACCCCGGGAGAACAAAACATACTGATTTCTTCCTCATTTCCAAAGTAATATTTGTTCATGATTTTTAAAAATGTATAGAGAAGAGAAAATTAAAAGGGAAGAATGCACCCTCTGATTCGATCATCCAAAGATTAGTACTATTAACATTCTGGAGTATAGTTTTCCAGTCTTTTCTCCTTGTAGGCTAAAAACACTTAAAACAATCTATACATCCATAAAAATGCTCATATGCTTCTAAAACATATATTTGGTCCCGCAGTGGAATCCATTTGAATCTGGGGGCAGGAGGCGTGACATAGCTCCATCAACCATTCCCCTCAGTGGCTAGCCCAAACTTCCAGTACCTTCCTCGACCTCTGCCCAGTACCTTTTCTACGTCAGAGGAAACGGAGGCTGCCAGGGTAACCCCATCCTTACTCCTCCTCTCCCTCCTCCCATCCCTGGACTCACGGGGACCCACTGTCTGGAGGACGAGGGGCCCTCAGGGGCTCATACTTCTACCTCAGAGCTTTCCCTTCAGGCTCTTAGCAGACTCCATGCTCTCCTTCCTTCACAGCTAAGTTTCTCCAAGTTGTGTACACTTGCTGTCTCTGCTCACCTCTCACTCTTTTTTTTTTTTTTTTTTTGCGGTACACGGGCCTCTCACTGTTGTGGCCTCTCCCGTTGCGGAGCACAGGCTCCAGACGCGCAGGCTCAGCGGCCATGGCTCACGGGCCCAGCCGCTCCGCGACATGTGGGATCCTCCCGGACCGGGGCACGAACCCGTGTCCCCTGCATCAGCAGGCGGACTCCCAACCACTGCGCCACCAGGGAAGCCCTCACTGACTCTAGTTCCAGTTCTCTGGCACCTGTTGCCTCCATACCACAGAACTGCTCCCACTAGGTCAACAAGCAACTCCCTGTGGCCAAATCCAAAGGTCAGTTCCCAGCCCTCATCTTTCTTGGGTCTCCTCCTGCCCACCAGTCCCTCCTCCTGTCACTCTCTTGTGACGGCTCCATGCCCTCTTGGTCTCCACCTGCCTCTAGGGCTATGCCTTTCTCACTCTCCTGCCCATCCTGGACATGGGTGATCCTTGGGGCTGCACCACTAGCCCTCTTCCTTGTTCATCCTGCATTCCCCAGACAATCTTCTTCTATCACCAGCTCCAGCTCAGACCTCTTTTGGGGATGAAGATGTTTCTACCTGGTTGTTCAAAAGACATTAAAACAAAATAAAACAAACCCCCAAAATTCAACTTCGTAGAACTGAACCCATTACTTTCTCCACAAACTGTACTTCCTATTCTCCCCTCCCTGGCCCATGAGACATCATCTACCCGGTCACCTGGGGTAGAAACCCAGTAGTCATCTCCAGCTCTTCTAACCCTCTGCCCCACACTCCCACCCACTCCACCAACTTAATATGGCCCCAAATGATGCCTTGAATCCAATGTTCTCCCCTCCATGCCACTCTCACAGCCTTAGTTGAACCTCATCATCGTGTGCCCCAGACACTAGAGTCCCCCAGGTCTTCCTGCCTCCAGTCTCTTCCTGTATCCTGCAGCCTCACCTCTATCCTTTCTCCCCACTATTTTCCAGAGTAAACTTTTTAAAATGTGCATCTGATCATGTTATTCCCCTTGCCTAAAAGCCTTCCCCGGCTCCCTAGAGCCTTCACATGGTACAGAGTCCAAGCTCCTGGGCAGGGCTCAGACAAGGCCACCAAGATCCAGCCCTGAACCACCCTTCCAGTGTCACCTCCCTCCCCTGACAGTCCCACCCTGTGGACTACCTGGAGTTTCCCAGAGGCTCTGTGCTCTCCAAGTCTTCCTCTTGTGCCCTTAGGGACCCATATTAGCACCTCCCCTCCAGCCTGTCAGGCACATCCTTGCCTCCTGCACCTACAACAAACCCACTCAGGGACCACATCCTCTGCCTTCTTTCTAATGGTCCCAGGCTACACCCAAGACAGAACCCATCACTTGGCCTTTGTGCTACCATAGCTTGTATTTGTCTTATAACACCTATCATTTAAGTATACGCTGATCTCTCCTACATGACTGTAAATTCCTGGTGGACAATGTCTTTAATTTGTAGCCCAATGAATTGCCCAGGGCCCGGCATGGAACAAGTCTTCAATAAATCCAAGCTGAATAACAGTGATGATACAGCAGACATTTATTGATTGCTTATATGCCAGGCACAGTTCCAAGGGCTTTACTGTACTTTGTCAATTAATTCTGACAATAAACCTATGAGGCAGAGACTATGATATTCCTCATATTATAGATGAGGCGACTAAAGCAGAGAAGTTAAGCAACTTCCCAAGATCACATGACTAACAGGTGGCGGTGGCAGGATTCAGACCCAAGTCTAGAATCTATGCCTCTATCAGAAGACAACTTACATATTTTATTATTTTTTAATTTTTTTATCTTTTTGGGTGCGTTGGGTCTTTGTTGCTGCATGCGGGCTTTCTCTAGTTGTCACGAGCAGGGACTACTCTTCATTGCAGTGCGCTGGCTTCTCATTGCAGTGGCTTCTCTTGTGGAGCATGGGCTCTAGAAGCACTCTAGAGCCCTACTGAAGCAGGCTTCAGTAGTAGGTGCGCAGGCTTCAGTAGTTGTGGCACGTGGGCTCAGTAGTTGTGGCTTGCAGGCTCTAGAGCACAGGCTCAATAGTTGTGGCAC